ACCGGACTCGCCGCCCTCCTCCCGGCACTTTGGCCGCCGGGGAGAGCGGAGCCCCGGCCGGGCTCGCCGCCCTCCCCTGCCGCGCTCCGGGGAGGGGGGCCGGCAGGAGGCTTTTTTGCCTGGGGCGGCAAAAAAGCCAGAGCCGGCCCTGGTACTGAAAGTTCCCTAATGTGCTTGGATCTACCCCACTTTAAGTGCACACCAGGCTAGTGAGAAGTAGATTTACACCCCAGCTTGCCATACACTGTTTGTGTAGATAAACAGAGGTGATGGGTGGCCATAGTTCAGCCCCTTCATATCTATCTCCACCTCAGGGGTGTAGGCACGACTTGGCTGGATCGCACAGGGCCCACCCAAATCTGAGCAGCAGGCACAGTGTTTAAAAAGGAGGGAGGTTATGTGTGTGTGTTGGGGGACGGGGGAGGTGGCTTGCAGCCCGGGGGGAGGTGGCTTGCAGCCCCAGGGGAGGAATTGATGTAGCCAGGTCACTAAAGGGCTTAGTCTTTTGTAAAGCTGCTGCTGCCTCATACTGCACCACTTCCCCATCAATACTGCCCGCAATTCCACCCCACAATACACAACTCCAGTTAGTGAGTGACAGAGAGGTGGCTGAGCCACAGAGTAGTGTGGTGACCCAGTTCACAGGCTCCTACTCTCAATCCCAGGCTCCGCGCTGTTCACCATTGGCACAGGTTCTGGCTCCATCCCATTCCACCCAGCTCTGGTTACTTCCTCCCCATTGGCAGAGATACGTTCTGCCTCTGCCCACTGCTGGGGAAGGGGCTGGCTAAAACCTGATTGGCTGATTGTTTGGAACCTGACAACCAATGGGGAGGCACTAACTGGAGCTGGACAGAATGGGATTGAGTCGGATCCAATACTGACGGGGAAGCAGAGCTGACCAGAGTGGTATGAGGCCAGCAGTAGCTTTACCAAAAGACTGAGCTCCTCCGAGACCTGGCTCAATCTTAAACAAACAAACATTCTGGGGCTGTGACCCCCTGCAACCTCTCTCACTTTAAGCACTGTGCTTGGTGCTCAGATTTGGGTAGATCTGTATGGTTATTGGGTAGGCCACGGCCCACCTTGGTCCACCTCTGGCTACGACCTTGCTCAAACCAGCCCACCCCCAAGAGTATTGCCGTCAGTTACCTCTGAAGAAAAGCCGTAAGTGTTTTCTGGTGTTTAAAACAAAAGAAGAAGA